GTCTTCCCGGGCTGGGGAGGTCACCAAGCTCAAAAATCCTCACGCAGAAAAGAGCGCAAAGAGCTCACACCACAAGACGCCAAACAGCCTCCTGAGACTACTACCCTCCTCCGCCTCTCCCTCCCTGGGCTAGTCCAGGGGAGATAGCCCCCGTCGAGGGGGTAACACCGCACAAGTCCGCGCCCTTCCACAGCACTGGGTCTAAATTGAAAAGTACTCAAACGGGAAGACCCTGCGGCAACGCAGGGCGATCAAGCCTCCGGAAACCACAGGGGGGGAGGGTAGCCAGCTCGGCGCCCCCCCAATACCGCTCTACCAAGACGGCTGGTTCCCAAGATCCTATCTCACCTAGACGCCGCAACACGAAAAACCCGGTCTCGTACCCTGAAGAACCTAGTCCTGCACCACGCGCGCACCTTCGAGTACGGCCCCTCCTTCTGGGTGCCCACCTCCCCCTCATCCGCGCCCTCGCTACGGCCACCTGTTTCCACTCACCACCCCTCAACCCTACATCCTCTTGGTGCTCTCTCTGCCTCTTCCCCTCCCCCCCCGGCTCTCCCCGCCCTTTCACCGGTCTCCTCCCCCTCCGCCGGTACGGCTCCCCCAGGCAAATACACCCTCCCTCCCCCATGTCCCCTTGCGCGGCACCCCCCCAAGCCCCATCCCTGATCCCGCCCCCCTCGCAACCTTTCCCCTCAACCTCCCTCTCGACCTCCCTACCACCCCCACCACCTCCTCCCCCCTCCGCGCCTCGACACCCTATCCCCTTATCCCCTAAACTCCATCTCCCACCGCGTGTATGTATGTATGTATGTATGTTGTTACAGGGTGGTTAACTTCGCCAGCGGCCCCTTTCCCGGGCAGTCCCTGCGCTCCCCTGCTAGAGGGGCACCCTAATACGTCACCCCATCCGACTTCAGAATGTATTCGTTGGGTTCGGCAACTCACCACCAGCATCCAACCAAATCTAGCGGATCAACGGCGCATCAACTTAGTTCCTGGTCAGCTCGCAAGTTGATTTTATCACGTCCTACATCGTCCATATGATGGGGGGCCACCTCCCATTTCGATGTCGGTGTTGCAGCTGTTCCGAGCAGCGCTTCAGCTGCTTGCGGACAGCTCAGCCTGGGCCAAGGGACTAGCTATGGCGCGACAGGAGGGGGGAGAGGGTGCCCTGAGGGACACGCCGCAGCCGCCAGCGATGGTGTGTCGGTTCCCAAGTGCGCGTTAGTGCTGCCATGCAAATTGGCGGGGTAGGACGAGGGGGTAGGACGAGGTGGAAATGTCCCTTCCTGGTGCGCACAACAGTTGAAGATAAAGCTGACGTTGACATGGGTTCTTCCTGACGAAATAAATGGTTAGATGGATGAAGGATGTTGGAGTATGATGTAAATAGATCAAAGATCGTGGAGTGGGGCCAAATGTCGGCTGTGAAAGAAGTAGGAATCTATGGTTACTGTGGTGCCGGTGGAGACCTTGGCAGCTTTCTCCTTTTTCGACGGTTACCATTTCGTTGCCAAGTCCTTGCTGCTTGCTGTCTGCCAATCCCATACACCTCTCACCCCACCTTGCCTCTCGCAGCAAGCCTTCAAATCACATTTCCAAGTGGTCTTTGTAGACTTCACCGGCTGGCTCAAACCTGGCGTCTCACATGACCCGTGGGTCACTCGCTCACGTCCAGATGGTCGCCCGGCACACCCTGGACCTGCTGAGGGCCCCGGCTGACCCAGATGAGGCCTTCGCGGCGGCTCTGCTCACTCGAGCAACCCCGGCCGCGGCATTCGACTACCACTGGCGGATACGTCTGTCGGCGGGAGGTGGCTCCCCACATGCGCCACGTCATCCCCGACCTCATCCTGCAGCACGTGGTGGGACGTCACCTGCCCACCGGCTCGGAGGTGGTTGGGGCCGCGGGCTCCCTGGACTGGGCCCTGTGCTGCCGGGCCTCACCTTCGGGTGCGGATCTGGCGGCCACTCGGGCTGCAGAGGCGGCTAAGGACAAATTGGCCAAACAGCTCCGAGCGTTGGATAACTTGGCGCTCAAGGTGCGAATGGACAGTCTCGTTTGCTCAGGATTTGGGGTTCTTTATATGTATGTGTGGGATATCCATGGATGTATATATTGTTGTATTTGGGTATTACTTCATGCTTCCCGATAATTATGTGTGCAATTATCCTAAACTGTTGCAAGATCTCCCGTTGCGCTATGTGTACCTTTTTATTTCATGAAATTTAAAGGAGAATCTTTTTGCACAACCACTTGAAAGCCTATGACGATACCGAAAATCTGTAAACTTAACAGTTAATAATCTCCCCGCGTGTGGTGGTGCAGGTGGTGGGTGTGCAGCCGCTGTTGGGGGTTGCCCGCGGGACGGCGCCCTTTCCGCCGCCGCCGCACCCTCTGGCGGGGCCCTCCGGGGCTTCGGCGTCCACAGCGGGCAGCCACACAGGTGGCGGCGTCATTCCCCGCTGCCTAGACCCACTGGAGGTGCTGGTGACGCTGGAGAGCTCAGGTCCGTACCCTCGAGAGTCTTGAGTAACCACAGATGTGCCACACTTGAGAACTTGGAGAAGTTGTTGTGTGTGGGCATGTGCTTGGGCATGTGTGTTTTGTTGCGAAACATGAATAAAGACGGCAATGATTAAAACTTTATGCCTGACGAGACCTGGCAGAGCTCCTCTCACAAGGGCGCCAGTTTGTGGTCGTTATGGTGAACAATCTATGAGCCGTCCCTTTGGTTGTGCACAGCAACATGCGCACAATCTGCACTGAAAACTGTCACCTCCACTCGGGCGATTTGCGCCCACCGCCATGTATAATTCCTACCCAGATCTGAGTTTTGCGCACTTCAATAACTTGTTTCTTTCTATATATATATACTTGCCGTGCTGTGAACAAAACCCGGCAGGTCGCTGGCCGGACGACACGACCGCTTTTCGCAAGATGAAGGCCTCCCTAGGGTTGCAGCTCGCCAGTGCACTGGCGTCATCCTACGGACACCACACCATCGCGAGTGAGGAGGCCGTTGACGTGCTGCTGGACGGCTTTGCATTCCGACTCGTGCTCTATTCTGGACGGGATGAGGCCATGCTGACTCGTAGCAGTGTCACCACCACCGGCCCTTTTCAATCGATAAAAACTGGTGATAACACTATTATACTTACTGTAAAAGACGATTTTAAAATTGGGCAGCTACAAGATAATGACTTAGACGCTGTAGTTGCCTGCTGCGTAGACCATCAGATTACACTGGGAGCTGTGCACCGAGGGAGGGAGGGAAAGAGGGCAAGCGGGAGGAGAGGGACGGAAGAGAGAAGGTTATCATGTCGCGCTTTTGGATTAGGGTAGGAACAAGGAGCCATAGGGCCATAGGTGGCTCAAGCGCGAGAAAAATGAGAAGCATTAAGAGAGCATATGATGAGTACAGAAGCAGCCACAGTTCTGAACAGTTGGGCTACCGTTTTGAAGAAGAATCTGGCAGGATTAACTACAGCGTCTAGCATTCATGTATCACCTGCCAAACGTTAACATATACATGCATGTAATATATTTTTACTACTCACAATATACATGTCGTACAATTCATAGGACTTTCGATAGCAAGTGATACTTTTTAAGGATAATGATCCTCCCGAACTTCAACTCAATGAACCTCAACACCTAGGTACCTGAAGGGGTTGACAAAGCCCGCAGAGGCGCCCAGCATAATTGCAATGGAGACGTCTCGTGGCGATATCTAAAGCTTTTCGCCAGCGATAGCAGCGATAGGGTACGTCCGTATTTTTTCGGGCATTATATAGGCGACATATTCTGGAAATTAGGTGAATGGCATACAGGCCACCTGGCTCTCTACATATTATACGAAACTTATAGGCTTAGGCCTAAAGAGGCGCATGTGTAAGTGATGGCCTAATATACGATCATGTATGGCATAGTATTATAAGTACATTTTTACATCATAACCTGTAGCAAGGGATGTTTAAGGCTATTCGGTATACAGGTCATGTATACGGTTTGTATACACTTGATGTTGTAAACGACATTGCCTATATAGGCGCAAGTATACATGATTGCCTATGACAGACCTGAACAAGCATCGCATAATAGGCCTAGGTAGACTTGTATTTAAGGGGTACCCTTCAGTCACCCCAGCCATCTTCCCTATGGCATAAAACGAGGGGTAACCCCCCCTTAAGCATAACCCAGGGGTTAGGGGTAGGGGTAAGTTGTTACCCATGTGGCTATGTACGAAGGGAGGTGGGTAACCTAACCCCGGGGTAGGGGTAACCCCTTACCAAGGGGTAACAAAGGGGTCGGGGTAATATTGTACTGAGGGGTAACAGACAGGGTAACCCGTGTTTACAAGTGTTCCTTGTCCGTATGCCGGGCCATATGCTGGTGTCAATGGATTGTAAGCATGTCCCTGTCCAACCTGCCTACACATGCTATCACAGCTGTCTCATCCATCTATGTGAGCACGTATGCCCATTTCGCCTGAGCTCCCAAGGCCACACTACTAGGCTAAAAGACTCGACCGAACCAACCCCGTCCCGGCCCGCCGGCTGTCCAGCCGCCCCTCAGCGGCCGTTTGCCACAAGCCTGCAGCTGGCAGAGCCTGGCGCGGAGGCGTCTGCGATTGACCGGCGAAGAAGGGAAAGGGAAACTTGTTAATCCACGATTGATTTCTTTTCAGGACTAGCCAGAGACACAATGGATTTCAAGCTAAATTGCGTTCCCCAATCCACTTCGAACTGTATGAATGCGAATGAATAATCTTATTAGGGACAATAATACGGCACGGGAGTTTCATGCCCTCAAAGCGGGAACAAACGCTAACGCTGAATACATACATAGTTCTAAATCTTCTACTAAAATTTTCCTGCAGCGCTAGAGGCCTTTAATTCATATTGGCGAACGATGCTTCCCGAGCTACCGGGATACTGTAGGTTCAACATGTACATGTAACATGTACATTTACAGAAATGTACTAAAATGAATTCACGAAGTGCGCAGCAAATAAGACGAGTACCCTATAGGCCCATGTCCATAGTCCAGGGCAACGGAGGGGGTTACCCTGGGGCCGTGTTACCCCTCCTGCTGGGTAGGAACTTACAAGGGGGTTACCAATGGGCTACGGGGGGTTGAAGGTGGGTAACCGATGGGTAACCCTGGGTTACCGACCCAATCAGTGCCTTAGGGGTTTCCACTAGGCCTTACGGTTCTCCGCCAGGAGTGCCCCAACCTCCAATTTGTTTAATGAACATTTTCTACTATCATTAGTTATATCAATATATGCATTTAGAACGGCGAGAGACGAGTCCAGGACGAAGAACATTCAAACTTAGTGTTAGTGTCCGGCCAAGTGGAAACACCCTGTTAGTTGGTAGAAGAAAAAAGGGCCTTATAAGAGGTATTGAAACTCGGAGTTGCTACGGCTTTCATGGGATATGTTGGGGACAGATGAGCTATTGGGGAGCAACGGTGATAACTAACCTGTTCTCTGCTATACCGCTTATCGGTGAAAGTATTGTTACATGGCTATGGGCTGCAGCTGGATTTTCAGTTGCTTACCCAACCTTAAACCGGTTTTATTCACTGCAGCCAGCTTTGGACTCTCTCTTGTTATTGTATCTATATATTTTGCTGAAGCTGAGAAAATTATCTCCAATGAAAAAAGCTTATAATAATTTGGAGATGCATTATGATCTTGCAGTATAACATTGTAGACCCTGATTCAAGAATTGATTTCAAATAGTGTGTGTGGTTGTTACAGTGGGCTCCAGACTCCCGAAGAGTAGAGCCATCGGGCCAGCTGGCCGTGCACTGCAGTAGAGACTAATATACCAAAAGATTATCATCTCAGATAATTAACCTCTCATCGGTAACCGCTCTCGCGAACAAATCAATTTGCCAGATATAATCCTCAAAAAGGGGTGATGTGCGCCAACGGATTCCCAACCTTTTCGTGGAATTCCTAAAGCTGCGAAACCCTGAATGCGGCCCCAAAAATCAACAATAACTCGACAAATTGCTTCTTCCGTAAGGGAAGGACCAGGTAACAGTGCCGGGTTGGTTTTCATGTTTGCAGCCATATAACGTCTCCCATGCTCCATGGCTGACACCGCAGCAAGAGCCACAACATCCCAAACACATTGTTGCACTGATTGTGGGGCTTGGATAAGCCAAAGTTGCTCCCTTGAGACTGGCAATCCTATTGAAAGAGTAAGTTGATCTGCTATTGCCTGTGCCACCGGACAGGCCCAGAAATGATGATAGCGAGGGGATACACCTCCCACTGAACCTATTGGATAACCTCCACAACCACACATCGTTGGGCGCGACATCCTAAGATGGGAATTTCCTAACATAGGCACCCCATCAACCGCAAGACGCCACCAAATCTCTTTTTGTTCATTTTCCCACCGTAAATGAAACCATAAACGATGGAATGTCCGTTGCAAAAGAAGAATAGCTTCATCCAATATCTCAGAAGAACACGTCGCCTCTTTGATGAA